CGATATCGAGCTAACTTGTGAGGAGCCAATCCTTAGCAAGCCGTATCGTTGTTCCCCTGTGAAAAGGCAGACCATGAAAGAGGAGATCGCTAAAATGCTGGAGTTGGGAGTCATAGTACCGGGCGAGAGTGACTATACATCCCCTCTAATACTGGTTCAAGTGCTGGGAAAAGATCCCAGCCATGCATCGATTATCGGCGTCTTAACGCCATAACTCGAGACCAAACTTACCCGATACCAAACCTAGACGAGAGGGTAGAAACTGTGTCACAGTCCAGCTATATTTCCACGTTAGATCTCGTGCGAGGGTATCGGCAAGTCCCCCTTACGGAGCGTGCTAGCCGCTACGCCGCATTTGTTTCTCTATTTGGAATGTATTGTCCACTTCAGCTGAGCTTTGGATTGAAAAATGCGCTTTTTTTGTTTTTCAGGCTTAATGGACCGCATTCTTAAAGGCCTCTCTGAGTTCACTCTGCCGTATCTTGACGGTGTCACCATCTTCTCAAACAACTGGGAAGAACATGTCGAGCACTTACGCGTCGTGCTGAACAGGTTTAAAGAGGCTGGCCTTACCATGAAACCTACTAAATGTCACCTAGGGTGCGGCGAGGTGTCTTACCTGGGACACGTTGTGGGGCGTGGCCGGCGTAGACCTTCAGAAATTAAGGTAGCCGCAGTCGTGAACTATCCACGACCAACCACAAAATCTTAGATAAGGGCATTCTTGGGCCTGGCTGGATACTATCAGCTATACGTACAAAACTACTCTAGCATTGCCAGCCCTCTAACTGACTCACTTCGAAAATCCGAGCCGGTTAAAGTGTTATGGGAATCGGAAAAGGAGAATGCGTTTCGCCATCTAAAACAGGCCCTAAGCGAAAAGCCCGTTCTCATGGCACCCGATTTCTCTAAGAGATTTGTGATTCACTGCTACGCGAGTGATTGCGGCATGGGAGCTATATTGTGCCAGGAAGACAGTGCTGGTGACGAAAGGCCAGTTTTATATTTAAGTCGAAAACTCAGCGGTAGGGAAGAGGCATACAGTACCTCTGAAAAGGAATGCGCTTGCCTCGTATGGGCTGTTCAAAAGCTAGCTTGTTATGTCTCCGGTTCGAGGTTTGTGGTCGAAACGGGCCACTGTCCTCTAACCTGGTTAAATAACATGTCGCCTAAATGTGGCCGGTTACTGAGGTGGAGCATGATACTCCAACAGCACAACTTTGACGTTCGCTACAAAAAAAATGAAAGCTAAACGCTAATGCAGACCCATTGAGCCGTGTGTTTAGTTAGTACCTTCTCCGCCTTTCGGTTTCTCGCTGGCGATTCGGGGCAAAATTTTGTCCTCATCACGGCCTTAGCTGGGCGCTCTCGTCCAGAATGAGCTCGAGGAGCCAACTTTATGTTCTATTCTATTTCATTACGTTGTTGTACATGTCAAAATTTGAGTACTCATTTTAAGAGTCTTGTGTCCCACATGTGTCTCTTGATGTAGAGGGAACGAAATTCCGATAGACACGTAGCTAGGTATATGTTGTAATATACTTTGTCTGGTGTTCTGTCGGGTGACTGAGGGCTCTTGCTTGTGTCGTGTGTTGTCTGTTGTTGAACCGTTCTTGACAAGTTGCAGAACCATCGACCAGTGCCGAGACCAAATATCGTCAAAAGAGACGAGCGAAGCTGGCCGGCAAGTTGTGGCGACAAGCCAGTGGAGCTGAGATCCGTCCTCAAGAATGGGATGTGTTCACGGAATGGAGTCTGGAGCTGCATTCTCCCCATGACCCTGGAGGCGAACCTGGAGGGACCTGGCGAAAGAGCCCGCCCAACATCCGAGCCACGTGAAAGCAGCTTGTCTTTCCCGCGCATTTTCTGGCAGCGGGGGTGCTGTTACGCCTGCGAGTCTACACCGAACGTCCATGCCTCTGAAAAAGGCAATCTGTGTCAAGGCCAGCACGCGAGCCCGCCTGACGCGAACAACTCAACGGCGTCATCACGTGGCGGCACCTTTCTGACGCACAACGCACAGCGAGCCCCATCAGCCCACGAGCCCATTGCAGCAATAGGCGTCTTCCTGTCTGGCGAGTTTTACGCAATGTGTGGCGACGTCACTCGTCCTTGGCTGCAACCAAGCGAAGCAGCTCCGGATTCGATGAGTATGATGCGGCCCAGCGGCGACCCCATTGAAGGATTCTGACCTCACGCCCAGCGGCACTTCTGGTTGGACATTTGGTTACTCAAAGAATCCTCCCGGTGCATATAAAAAAAGCCCTGCGGCGCGGCGCGAGCAGTAGACCTATGTGTCAAAGAAAAGAGCTCGGCTCTTCGAGTCTCTAAGCTGTCGGTCCAGTGCCAAATTTGTAACGCCTCTGTATATATGCTGTACATAAACCCTGTTTAACTCACCGTTGTCTCGTCCGCTCGTCTATCAGCTCTGCGCAGAAGCAGTCGCGAGCTGAGAAACCTATGCTACCAAAGGGCTGGTGACCTTCCTGGCGGAGTTCGAAGCAGTGGCGCCTTTGGGACCGTGTTGGCGTCGCCGTCTTTCGTAACAATGGTGGCAGCGGTGGGATTTCGTGGCGCCCTTCGTAACGTCGTCGGAGGCGCGCTTCATAACAACATGAACGCTGATGCATATGTATTGTTCACTGCTGTACATGCTAAAACGTTACTTATGTGGTCATTATTTAATGTAAACATCGATTGACTCGCAATAAAACAATTTATTGCAGCAAGTTTGTTTGATCAGCGTTGTCATCTTGCTTGGCCTGTATGCGGCATCACAACTTAATAAAGTCGGTATGCAAGGTACTTCTTGCTCGGTTTTCAGGGTAGATATTTTGGAATTAGATAGAAAAAGGGTTCCAGAAACTGAAAACTTGATTTTCAAAACGATTTTTTACCATTTTTTGTGATCCCAAAGCTGCGTGCATTTCTTTGAACTGAATGCAAGGTAGTGGTTATTCGCAAGTGATGTCACATGTGCAGGATCAGGTGAAATACTGAAGCAGTAATGCGATAACTTTCATCTAATCTAGTATAGCGAACATAACACACTATGTAAAAGTAATGTATACAGCATCACTGAGAGAGCCAGATACGATCAGCGAAACTTTGGTCAGTCGCATAGTTTCATTAAGGCATCACATTTAGCAGTAGGTATTGCGAGATGCTATTTATCTGTGCTTCCCAACCACAGTGATTGTATTTTGGTGGAGGTGAAATGTTAAATGCACGTGTACTGTACGATGTACTCGTTAAAGGGCAAAACAATTTTTTGCGTATTAGTTAAATATCTTTTCGCAATCACGAAACCACTACTTGTACCGCAACATGAAAGAAAAATGCGGGTGGAGACGCCTCCGTAACATTCTCGCACTAAAGACAGAGACGTAGAAAATTTTAAAGTCGTCTATTAGGGTTCTGCGTAGCTTCTGCTCTACAAAAATTTAGTGAATTGTCATCTGTGGGTGCCATAGACCTAGCATATTGTCACGGGGTCGTGACGTGGATCAAGGGAGCAGACTGCAGGTCGAATAATAAACTGTTTATTAGGGCCGGACTTGAGGCCACGTAAAAAGAAAGTTCGATTACAGCAAGATACTGGCACTGATAGTGGCCATAAGAGCGGGCTGTCGATCAACTGATAAGCGGCGAAGCGCGTTGGCATTTATACACGTGCCATCAAATGTTCTAGGGTTTTCACTAGCGGCAACATAGGTTCCAGAATAATCTTAAATGTTCACGAAGTTGGTGTAATCTTAACAAAACCATCTATTACAGCCTCGAAGCTTTTTCAAGACCGTAGGCACGGTTTGCGCTGAAGGTAGTATAACGGGGTGAGAACAAAACTTGAGGAAACGAATGTGGCAATGTGAAGTTGCGGAAAATTTCATCTAGCTAATGTCGTGAAAATATCAAAAATACATTTTGCAAATTGTCACATTGGAGGTTTCGGAACAAAATTTAAAAATACAACTTAACCTTGACTTTTTATGCTAATAATGAACTTATGAGTTTGACACTTATGGCATTAGATTTCTGACAGTGCAGTTTAGGAATGTAAACCAAGTGATTGTTTCTCTTTAGTGTCCCTTTAAAGAACACCAGATGGTCGAAATGTCTGGAACCCTCCACTATGGCGTGCCTCATAGTCATTGTGTGGCTATAGCTCATAAAACGTGGAACGATATACCAGAGATATTATTAACTCGTAAAACCTTAGGTAATGTGATTGTGTGGTGCAGGGCTGTGCTCTTCTATGCTTAATCCTGAAAACGGTTTGTTGCAACGTTGTTCAATGTAAAAGTGACATCATTTGCAGTAACCATTATACCTCTCTTTGCTTTGCGATTTCTGTAGATGACTTACATTTGTGGTTTGGTCAACCAGGATACAAACTGCCCTGCAAGGCTACATTTGTAGTTTTTTGTCTTTATGATGTGCAAATGCTCCTAAAAGTCCCAAGTACAGTGAAACCTCGTTTTTATGTTACTTGGGAAACGGGCAACAAAACTCGGAAAATAAATGTACCATGCGGGAAAACGTAGGATCTGAATCCAGTATAATTTGAGGCTAACAAACCCATATTGAGGTGCAAAAGCAAAAAAAAAAAAAATTCTTAAAATGCATTGAGCAGGGGTGAAACAGCTGCGCCAAAACCGTGAAATTTGCTGAAATTGCATCACGCTGCGCTGAAATGCCCAGGCAGCCTCACAGCAATTCTTGTCTCTTATATGAGATGTCTTTTATAAGCACAGTACCTCGTATGCAGTTTCTTATGAACCTGTATTTTACTGTACGTACACTGGTGTCTCTTATACCAATTTTCTTTTATATCATGTCTGTCTCTTACAAAAGGGTTCAACTGTATATGTATTTGCATAAATACGATGTTATCTGGTGAGTGGGGACTGTTAAAAGCTTATTCAGTTAACTTTGCTCGTGGGGAAGTTGTTAGAGTGCTGAATGGGTAACTTGGGTGTGCATTGTTTTGGGCAACACAGGGCTTTCAGATGTACCCGGAGAAGCAATGGTAAAGTCTTACTGCCCCAAGTGCATGGACGTGTATGGACCCAAGTCATCTCGGCACCACCACACGGATGGTGCCTACTTTGGCACAGGCTTCCCTCACATGCTGTTCATGGTACACCCTGAGTACCGTCCTAAGAGGCCCAACAGTCAGTTTGTGCCCCGGTAAGCTCACAAATTCTTTAAAAACTGCTATAATCATGCAAAGTATATAACTTGTGCCTAGTACACACCAAGAGTTCTCTTTAACTGATGCCTGAAAAATAGTTTGAGGCTTGATGTGCATCTCGTACTGTCAGTGACCGATTTTACGGGCATGCTTGATTATTTGGGTGCTTTTTGCCACATTGCTCACACAGTCACTTTATGTAAATGTCTGAAACTTGGGAACATGAAACTCATTGAAGTGGATATTTTTAAGTGGATATTTTTCGACATTTTTGCAGCGTGTGTGCTGTTTCCAGGTTGTAAACGACAATTGTTTATGGCACCACTGCTGCTGCATTGATTATCTTGCAGCTTTCAAATTATTGCTGTCATGCACCAATCTGTTCGCAGTGGATAGTACATTAAAAAGGGCTAAGATGCGCCTTGTGTGTAGTACTTTCCTGTTCATGTCTTTTGCGGTTGAACAGTCTCTATTAATATACATGGTTGAGTACATTAACCAATGAAGTAAGCTATGTCGAGATACCTGGCAACGAAAAAGTTGATATGCTTCTTTAGCAGCTCGTGAAACAGTTACAAAAATGAAAATTTCTCTTAGACAGCCAGCGCATAACTAGTATCTAGCAAAAGTTTGTTAATTTGGCTTTCGTTAATGAAAAAAAAATGAACAATTCAAAGATGATTTGTGGTTTCAGACAGTATATGCATTGTTTAATGGCATCGAATCCTCACTTGTTTGGTCACATTTGGCCGCAACCTGGTTAATTTGGATTATCTTTGCAGTGTACCAAGCACGAAGTGCTGTAAATGTGCGATGAAAAAGAACGGAAACTCTGTTTGCAGACAACCAAAACGAGCCGGCGCTGTCAGCATCACTATTGTCATGACTTAGTAACCACACTTTTGTCCACATGCAGATATGCACTCTGCAACCTTCGTTATAACTTGGCGCATGTACTTTGGACGCAATGTCTCAAAACTCAAACATGATGCAAGATGCTAAAGGGACACTAAAGAGGAATAAGATTTTTTTCATACTAGTAAACTACTCTTTCTTGATGCGAAAACGCCAAGCTTGCAATAAAAAAAAATCTGAGCGAGAAAACACAAAAAGAAAATGTGGGTGGCGATGTCGCCTTGGAAGTTTCTGCGTCACATGATTTGACGGTGCTTACTAGGGCCCGTGTAGTCCCTAATTAGTAAAAATGAAGTACATTGTCCTCTGAGAGGGCCATAGGCCTAACATACCAAGTTCAAAGAAATTTGGTGGAGCCAGTGTCGCCAAAATATGATAACACTTAGAAATTTGTGACGTCATGCGTGTCTATTTTGGCAAGAAATTTAAAAGCGAAACTTTGAACTTGATTTTATACTTTAATAATAAACATATTATTTTGAAATTAATGACATTACAGTTCTGAGAGTAAACTTATCAACCTAAAACGATTAATTATTAAAGATGAAGAGCCTTGAGCCAGGGTCGGCATGCTGGCATAAAACTTGTTTGCTACATTGCTTTGGATGAACTATCAGTTGCTGGTCATTTTACGTGCGAAAAAATTATCATGTATGCGTGGCGGTGGTATGTTGGAAAACATGGAGAACATGTCTTGGGGTAATTAAACACGGGAGTCTGCCGCTGAGGGTGCCTTGTGAACAGTCGCAGAATGATTAAAATTGCTACTTTTACAGTGCTCTTATCAAAATAAGTAGAGGATTAAAATATTCAACAAGAATGTGAAAGGGTATTGATGTAACAGATATTTGTTTATTGCTTTCTTGATACTTTCAATAATTCAGCGCCAGTATTGATATCAAGTTTCTTTGCACATTCTGTCTGCAGCTGCATTTACATAAATACCACCACGGCATATGACATTACCGTATATACTCGTGTAAGGGCCGCACTTTTTTTTCGAAAATTTTGCTAGGTGCGGCCCTTACACGAATCAGGCCGATTTAGTACAGGCAGTACAGGCCAAAGGTCTGTACTGTTTATGCAACAGTAGCAGAGTGCAAGAGTCACAAATGACATGCCAGAAATGTTTTTATTCGGATTCCATTTCGCTGTCCTCGTTCTCGGAGGAGCTCGCCTCGGCGTCCGCGTCTTCCCAGAGACGGTCATCTTCGGTGCCGTTCATGGAGTTCGAAATTCCCGTTACCTTGAAGCTTTTAGCAACTACTTCTACTGACATGGCACGCCACGCATTCAAAATCCATTCACACACCTGTTGGAGCGACGCCCGCTTCAGCCGTCCTGTAGGGGTCTTCTCGTGGACGCCTCCAGCCATCCATTCAGAGTAACATCGGCGAAATTCCACTTTGAATGGTCTGTTGACGCATACGTCGAGCGGCTGCAGCACACTCGTCAGGCCACCGGGAATGACGGCCAAGTCCGTACGAGTTGCGGCAACTCGGTTCTTGACGCGGTCGGTCAAGTGGCCCCTAAAGCTGTCCAAAACAAGGAGGGCTTTCCGTTGTAACAGCCCTCCAGGTCTGTTTGCCCAGACGGTCTTAATCCAGTCAACGACCAGTTCCTCGGACATCCAGCCCTTCTCTTGCGCACGTACGACGATTCCCTGAGGGAACTTCTCTTTTGGGAGAGTCTTCCTTTTAAATACGACGTACGGCGGAAGCCTCCTGCCGTCTGCCGTGATGCACAACATCACAGTGCACCTTTGGCGTTCTGCACCAGTCGTGCGCACAGACACACTTTTCGCACCTTTTAAATCCACTGTGGTGCTTTCCGGTGCATCGAACCACACAGGTGTCTGGTCCGCATTCCCAATTTGGGACAGGTCGTATTCATGCTCCCTCCTGAGAGCATTCACGAAGCGATGAAACTTAATGACGTGGTCTTCGTACTCGCGCGGCAGTTTTTGGCAAATCGTCGTTCGGCGCCGAATAGAAAGCTGGTTACGGTTCATAAACCGCGTAGCCCAGCCCCGACTTGCCTTGAATTGTGCCGGGGGTATTTCCATGTGGCGAGCGATGCTGAGGGCTTTGACGCGTATCATGTCAGTCGATACGGCGTAGCCGTCCCTTCGTGTGTCGACGACGTAGTTGACGAGCTCGCTTTCGAGTTGCGGGTACTTGCACTTTTTCCCGCGAAACGCCTTTCGGCTCCTGTTAGTAGCGGCGAGGGCATCTTTCTGATTCATCCAGTAACGCACGCGCTTCTCATCGACGTCGTACTTTCGTCCAGCTTCCCGCTTCCCGTGCTCCTCGGCATAGTCAATCACTTGCAGCTTAAATGCTGCAGTGAATGATCTCAGATGCCGGCCCATCGTCCGTCACGTGCGCTGGCTTCTGCAGGGTTCACTACAACCAACAAAGTGACACCGACGACACCGATCTGAAGTCGCGCTGCCAACGTATCGACACGATGCTAGGAACGATGCCAACAAAGAGGCCGCACAAGGCAAATATGGCGGCGCGCTGTCAACAGCGTGGTCGGCGCGTCGGCGGAAGTAGAATAAAAGCGGAAAAGCGTGCAGCGCCATCTGGCTGTAAATGAACTAACTACACTTTTCTGGCGGGACATTTTGAACTTTTGTTTTTTTTTTTTTTCGAAATATCCGCTTTCAAAGTTGGGGTGCGGCCCTTACACGAGGGCGGCCCTTACACGAGTATATACGGTACCTAGTGCATCACAGTAATTCAGTGCAACAGTGTTTTACACAAGGGGCATTTTCTTGAAGGAAAGCACATCCCGTCAGCAGTTTCATTTTTCTTTCCTTTGTTTATTTCACCTGTTTACACGTGTTTACATATGCAGGGGTGTAAGTGCTGCGCCAATTGCGCCATTTTGACCTGCTGTGCCAAGCTGCGCCTAATCGGCAATTTGCGCCTGATACGCCAGATTTAGTAGAGTTTTACCGTCGACCGAGCAACACGCGTTGGCTACACAAAGGACGCAACCATGTCAATATGGTATTAGTTCGGTCACGTCGTTTTTCGGTTCATGCATGAATCTTGCGCCACTTGAACCGAGTGAATGAATTTTGTATAGGTGGCGTTTGTGTGCATACCTTATTAAGCGACTCTATGCATGTTTTAACAGGAAAGCTGCAAGTCAAATTATAAGGCCAGCAGTGGTGTTGCAAAAAACTCACCACACTGTTGCCGAGCAGCCGCTGAGCATTGCACGCGGTCTGCAATGGAGATGGTCGAGCCACATAAACTAAAAAAAATAACAATAAATAAATAAAAAATCAGTACTGCTGAACCCATGACTGCAATAGCAAAGTTTGTGATGTAATGATAATGCTGCACGCCCTTCTTTTTTTTCTATTTTTGTTATCGCACCGTTACGCGTATAAAGCTGCATTGCGTAAACCGCGGCCGAATGACAGGGAACCATCTAGATAATCTCATAACCTTCCATTGAGATTATGTGCACAACGCGTACATTAGAGCTTGTTCTGGAACTTACGCAGCCGCTAGCGATAACACTAGAATCTTCGATGACACCTGTATAAGTGCCAAAGCACTTTACTGCTTGGGAGAGTATCGATGGCCACCGCTCTATGTTCGCTGCTATCAGTCTACAGCGTGTATTGTTTTTAGAGTGACGTTCTATTTACCGGGCACAGGTTCGCCCAAATAAAAAGTTCACTCATGAAAACAGCAGCTGCTGCCTTCGTCAACATCACAACCCCGTGACAATACGATGGGCGACAGCTAACTCATTTGGATCCGTATGTGCTGACGTATGTAACACCTTAGCCCATGTATGTTTCTGTATTCTTCTCGTGTTCAGTTACATGTTATGCAAATTGTGTACTTTAGTGCGTGTATTTTTCTTTTTTATTGTGTTTAGTTATGCATTAAGCAAATTATGTACTAATGTATTCCCACCCCTTATGTAATACCCCTTTTAAGGGGTCTTTAAGGTAATAAAATGAAATGAAATTCGTCATCGTGACATTCTACGAAACGTTGGTGTAAGAGAATCAGTACTGCCGCTCCAGGTAGAAACGTTCTTATCGCACCAT